CAAAACAGCCACAAACATCAGACATGCTAACACTGTAACATTATTGGATGGAGCCCACTGAGACTGAACCACCATCATGAGTCTGACCTCTGACCTTTGACCTGTATCTACAGCACTGACCTCTGACTTTCAGCTTCACTTGTTTCTTCAGCAGGATGTCTCCCTCCCTGGTGTAGGCGGTGCAGGTGTACCCGGAGTTGTCTCCATCTGTGGGGTGTTTCAGGGTCAGACTGAGGTCTCCAGGTTCCAGTAAGTTTCTCTTCATCTTCGTTCGGTTCTTGTATTTATCGTCCTGTTCTTCAGGCTGGTCAGAGCCGTTCTCATACATGTGGACCTTCCTGTTGTTTGCATCCTTCCACTCCACTTTAGCATCTTTAGGCAGCCAAACTGTGGTTTTGCAGATCAGTTGGACAGACTCCACCTCTGAATTCACCCCCACCTTATAAACTGAGAGGACAACAAAGCACAACATGAGCTGTAGTGAAGGTTAGTAATGGTCTTCTTATGACCTGTTACAGAGGACTTATTCCTGTGCTTGTCCTGTTAGACCTCAGTGTAGACCACAACAGTTTACTACAAACACACCAGAGTTATTAAAGGAAATTTACTGCAGTGGTTTGAATCACATCTGATAGATTCCAGTTTGTTCATGTAAATGAGGAGTTTCCTTCACAAACAAAAATTATTCATAGATGTGTATAATTGCTCTCCAAATGATACACATTCGATTTTCATGATTAATACCTGTCATATCATTTACAGGCACGTTTTAAAGACACAAGGCCTGGATCAACTCTAATTTACTGCTTCTAAATTCATCACATTGATCCAGGACTTGTACATAACCAGCTGGTGGCCTGTAATGTCTTTCAGATAGGCTAACACCAGTCGTTCGAAGGATTTCATGACCACAGACGTCAAGGCGACAGGTCTGTAGTCATTCAGTCCTGTGATGGTGGGTTTCTTGGGAACAGGGATGATGGTGGAGCGTTTGAAGCAGGAGGGAACTTCACACAGCTCCAGGGATCTGTTGAAGATGCGAATAAAGATGGTAGCCAGCTGTTCAGCACAGGTTTTGAGGCAGGAGGGTGAGACGCTGTCTGGTCCGGGGGCTTTCCTGGGCTTCTGTTTCTGGAATAGTCGGCTCACATCCTGAGTGTGTATTCTGAGTTTCAGGGAGGAGGAAAGGGGGGTGAGAGGTGTGGCGGAGGTCGTTGAGTCTGGATTGGAGAGGGTGGTGGTGGTCCTTGAGTCAATAATAAAATTGAAGCAGTGTCTAAGTGGCCCCAGCCTAACCATGTCTCTGAGTTGCGTTCATTCTTAGGCTTTGCAAGCTACTATCGTCATTTTGTTGAGGGATTCGCAAAATTGGCCGCCCCCCTACATCACCTAGTTGCTGAGCTGACTGGTACCAAGTCCAGGAAACCTGCCATACAGGTTTTATCTGCAGCATGGACAGATGAATGTGAGAAGAGCTTTGAAGGGCTTAAACAGAGGTTGGTGTCTGCTCCAGTTTTGGCTAATGCAAATTTTTCTCTGCCGTTTATCTTAGAGGTGGATGCTAGCTATCAGGGCCTAGATGCAGTGCTCTCCCAAGAACAGGCAGGGAAGATCCGACCTATAGCATATGCCAGCCGTGGCCTTCGTCCTACAGAGCGTAATATGGAAAGCTATAGCTCTATGAATTTGGAGTTTCTGGCCTTGAAGTGGGCCATGACTAAAAAGTTCAGAGATTATCTGTTGGGGCAGAAGTATATACAGATAATAATCCCCTCAGTCATTTGTCCACAGCCAAGCTGGGCGCTACAGAACAGCGCTGGGCTGCACAGCTTGCTGCCTTTGATTTCACCATCAAGCATCGACCTGGTCGAAGTAATAAGAATGCAGATGCTCTCTCACGGCAAAATCCCGCTGAAGTTACTTCAGTTAATGAACTAGGCATAGTCTCTGGTACCCCTCTGCCTGCCCCTTTGCAACAGGTTTTTGGTGTGAAAACACTAAATGAGGCTGTTCAAGCCACTATCTTAGTCTTTCCAGGACATGCGCCGTCTGACCTTTGTGTTTTGCAGGAGGCTGACCCTGTTATTCAGGGGTTTCTGAGATTACGGAGAAGGGGGCCTGATGCAACTGAACGTGGCCAAACCTCGAGGGAAGTCCTCGAATTGGTCAGGCAATGGCGTAGGTTAGTGGAGCAGGGTGGTGTGTTATATCGCAAGGTCTCTCATCCTAGGGGAGAAGAGATGGTGCAGGTGCTATTGCCCAAGTCACTGCAGGGTCAGGTTTTGCATCAGTTGCACCAGGAGCACAGACACCAGGGTGTAAAGAGAACCATAGACCTGGTTTCTCAGCGGTGTTACTGGCCGGGGATGTACCATGACATCCAACAGTGGTGCCAGGAGTGTGAGTGATGCCAACTAGCTAATGATGTTCAAATCTATCCTAACGCTTACATGGGCCATTTGCTTGCATCCCGACCAAATCAGATCCTTGCAGTTGACTTTACTGTATTGGAGCCGTCACGTAATGGGGTTGAAAATGTTCTTGTTATGACAGATGTGTTCTCAAATATATACCCAGGCCATCCCAACCCATGATCAACGGGCATCGACAGTGGCAGAAGTGTTGGTGAAGGAGTGGTTCTGCAGATTTGGCGTGCCAGGGCGTATCCATTCCGATCAAGGTAGAAACTTTGAGAGTAATCTGGTTGAGCAGCTTTGCCAAATATATGGTATTGAGAAGAGTCGCACTACCCCTTACCATCCAGCCGGTAATGGTCAAAGTGAGCGGTTTAATCGCACTTTACACAATTTGCTGTGCACCCTCCCCACCTCTCGGAAAAGGGACTGGGCTTATTATATGCCACAAGTGATCTTTGCATATAACACCACAGTACATCAGTCTACAGGCGAGTCACCATTTGCTCTGATGTTTGGCCAAGATCCCCAGTTACCCGTTGACTTTTTGTTGGGTAGGATTCAGGAGCCTGTAGCTGGTAGCACCCATGACTGGGTTGTAGAGCACCAGACTCAACTACATCATACATTTGAACTTGCTAATAAACGCTTGGGGGCTGCAGCTAATTGGCGCAAGATACGTCACGACCAGCATGTGAGGGATGCTCCCCTGCATGAAGGTCAGTTGGTTTACCTTAAGGAGGTTGGGTTTAGAGGCCATCATAAAATTCAGGATGTTTGGAGTTTGGTGGTGTATAAAGTGCTTAAGGCCCCTGACCAAAAAGGGTCCGTGTACACTATTGCTCCGGTAGATAACCTGAGTCACGTGAAACATGTCCACCGTTCACTACTAAAGAATAAGGTGGAAGGTGTGACCACCTGCCCTCCCAGTGCTCTGATCCAAACATTAGAAACTGCCCTTGTAGAAGAACTGATGCAAGGTGGCGAGTGGTTTTTATTGGTCTCTGAACCTACTCCAGCCCCAAACAGTTGCCAACCAAGACCAGAGAATACTAGCCCTCGTAGACCAGACGAGCTAGAACCCTCAACGTCCCCCATGTTGTCGGCTTGCACTGAGGCAAAGCTAGCGGTGCGCCCTCTCGGTCGGTGACAGAGACTTGCTTGCTTATCATGGTGATAGAGGAAAGAGGAAGATCACTGACAAATGGGAATCCAGTTTTTAAGGTGGTATCTGTGAAACCTGACATCAACGTATACCACATTAGAGACCCTATGACACTGAGGGAAAAGGTTGTTCATTGAAACCTACTACTTCCTGTGAGTTTCCTTCCTGCAGGAAATGAATGCTTACCATTGTCAACTTGTCCCTCAGTTGCGGATAGTGGACAAGGTGAACCAGAACTTCCAGGCAATCTGCAGGACGTAGGGACAAAGAAGGCTCACTGGCTCATGCAGATGGACCAAGCGAGTGATAGGGAGTCTGCCGTTGGTCAAACTGGTTGTTCTCTTGGTGCGGCATTGAGCGTCCCAACCTCTGAGGCAGAATCGACTGTGGCTCCACATGCTGTGTGTGATGTGTTGGCTTCCCAATATAATTTGTATAATTTTACCACTATATGATCACACTGCAAGTGTAAATGTAATCCTCAGAGTATTGGAGGATTCCTGTGAGGTTGACTGGTCACGACAATAAACGAAAGCATTCTAACTTGTTGCCTTTTTGTTGTGAATGCAGACCAGAGAAGACACTACACAGAGGTCACACTTGTCATTTAGACAGCTGTTAGCACATGATTCTCCTTATGGGGACCTGATACGTTTAATATGCTGCTGAGAATATAGCCCAGAAGAAGCGTATAGTATAGCTTTTATTTTGGAAAGAGACATTTCTCTGTAATAAACTCTCTTTACCAAAGATGAGTGATTTCTCAATCAGATAGATTTTTTTTATTACTTTGTTGTTTCAGCAACATTAAATTTAAAAACGGTACTTTTGAGTTAAAATATATATTTATGATTTTAATAAATGACAAATTAAAAAGTCATGAACATTTTTTTTTAATCGAAAAAATATCGAACCGTGACACCAAAGTATCGAACCGAACCGAACCGTGAATTTTGTGTATCGTTGCACCCCTAATATATATGTGTAATATATATGTGTCCTTAGTGTTGGAACAGAATTGGGAGAAAAAACTTTTGAATAAGTTGCCTCTGGAAAAATCTACAGAAGGAGTTTAAAGTTAAAGAAGTGAGAGAATGGCTCAATTTGATCAGTGTGAATTTTGTCATTGTTGATTTTATAATGACCTGTTATTTTATAAGATTCTTGATTCATGTTTGTGTTGTGTTGTGGTTTTGTTTTTTTGTGTTGTGTTTTTGTTGTTTTATAGGATTTGTGAATTCATGATTCATGTTTGTGTTCACTTGTCTGTGTGGAAAATTGTGTTTGCTTCTTTATTTGTCACACATTGTATTTGTTGTAACTTATACATGACTCTGCTGGTCTTTCTTGTAAAACGGACTTTAATCTCAGTGAGGTATTTACGTGGGCAAATAAAGTACATGTGCAGCCTCTGAGTCAGATCAATGCAGTGAAGCACACACACTGTTTAGTAAAGTCATGTTGTGGAGCTGTTTCACTGATCAATGACTGAGTCTGAAGGAGGTTTTCTGACTTCTGGAATAAACCTGGAAGTTTCTCTTCAGCTCTCTGTATCAGCTGTTTGTAACTCTCAACTCTTTCAGCTTCTGGAACAAGTTTGTGTGAGCCGCAGTCAAGGAGCCACCAGAGGACACCTGCTGACCATCGGCATTATGGGTAGTGTAGCAGGAGACACTCACCTGACATGAAATACTGACGGAAATAATATATGAGACCTCCAAAAACCGCAAGAAGAACCAGGAGAACCAGGAGAATCAGGAGAGCTGTGGCCCAGGATGGAAACTGTTCTGTGGAAAAAAACACAAACAACATGTCCTTTGAACTCTGATCTCAATGTCCTGCACTGTATCATGGTTTTTATCTCCATGTCTGACCTTTGACCTGCAGCACTACTTTCTGTCTCAGGATGTCTTTGTCCCTGTAGATGATGCAGATGTATTCTCCACTGTCTCTCTCTGTGGGGTATTTCAGGGTCAGACTGAGGTCTCCAGTTCTCAGCAAGTCTTTGTTCATCTTTGTGCGACCACAGTAATGGTCGTCCTGCTTCTTAAGGTGGTCACTTCCATTTGAATATCCATGGACTATCATGATTTCTCTGTCAAATCTTGTCCACTCCACTGTGGTGTCCTCAGGCAGGTCAGGTGTTGTTTTGCATTGCAGGATGACAGACTCTGATCCTACAACGACCTCCTCTTTCAGTTCTTGGTCTGAGAGGACAGTAAACCAAATTATAAAAATTGCATCTGGAAAGTATTCCCAGTGTTTTATTTGTTCCACATTTTGTTATTCCAACATGGATTAGATTGAGTTTCACCTCACATTTCTACACACACAATACCGGGGGATTCCCATGATGCATTGAGTTTTTCCTTTCCAGTCACCTTCCTCACTCACTATGTGTTAATAGACCTCTCTGCATTGAATCATATCTGTTATTAACCTCTGCCTCTCTTTCACATCATGTCTTTATCCTGTCTTCCTTCTCTCACCACAACCGGTCGCAGCAGATGGCCCCGCCCCTCCCTGAGCCTGGTTCTGCCAGAGGTTTCTTCCTGTTAAAAGGGAGTTTTTCCTTCCCACTGTCGCCAAAGTGCTTGCTCATAGGGGGGTCATATGATTGTTGGGTTTTTTTCTTTGTATGTATTATTGTACGATCTGCTGTACAATATAAAGCGCCTTGAGGCGACTGTTGTTGTGGTTTGGTGCTGTATGAATAAAATTGAATTGAATTTAACAATACCCCGCAATGACAGGCTACTGTTTAAATGATTGCAAATGTATTAAAAAAAAAAGAGAGAATAACATGTAATCACAAACTTTGCTCAGTGCTTTGTTGAAGCAACTTTGGCAGCAATTACAGCCTTCAGTCTTTCTCAGTATGATGCTGCAAGCTTGGCACCTATTTTTAGGCATTTTCTTTATTCTTCTTTGCTGACCCTCTCAAGCACCATCAGGTTGGATGGGGAGTGTCAGTGCAAAGGCATTGTCTAATCTCTCCAGAGATGTTTGATTGGGTTCTTGTCTGGGCTCTGGCTGGACCACTCAAGAACAAAGACAACAAAGTGGTGCCGAAGCCCTCCTATGTTATCTTGTCTCTATGTTTAGGATCGTTTTCCTGTTGGAAGATAAACCTTCAGCCAGTCCAAGGTACAGAGCACTCTGGAGGAGGTTGTCATCAAGGAGTTCTCCACACATTGGTGCATTCAGGAAATCTTTTAGTTCTTCCACTGTAAAATGTCCCACAACATGATGCTGTTTTTTCCAGACATGACACTTGGCATTCAGGCCAAAGAGTTTAATAGTGGTTTCATCAGACCAGAGAATTTTCTTTTTCATGATCTGAGATACTTCAGGGGCTTTTTGGCAAACTCGATTCAGTGCATACTGTCTCAGAGGTCTGCAGACAATTCCTTGAACTTCAAGGCTCGATTTGTGTTCTGACATGTACTGTCAACTGATGGACCTTATGTGTGCCTTTCCAAATCATGTCCAATCAACTGCATCTATCACAAGTGGACTCCAATCAACAAACATCTGGCAGATTATCAGAGGGAACAAGATTCAACTGAGATTAAATTTTAGTGTCCCAGAAAAGGCTGTGAGTACTTTTGTACATCTGTTAATTTTAGCTTAAATTAAAAAAATAAAAAATAAAAAAAATAAATTTGGCTTAAATTTTAAAAAAAGTTTAAGCCAATTTTTTTCCATATTCATTATGGGGGTATTGTGCAGGAAGAATTTGGAGATGAAAAGCTGATTCCATCCATTTTGGAATAAGACTGTTACATAACAAAATGTGGAAAAAAGGAAGGGCTGAGAGTATTTTCCAGATGTTCTGTAACTAAAGAAGCAGATTCAGTCACACTAATTTTAATCATAGAATCGACCTGATCTGAGATCTGAGCATCTGTGTTACTGACCTCTGACTCTGCTGCCAGTAAAAATAAATATCAATAATCAAATCATTAAAATCTCTATTCTGCATGAAAAATATCAGGAAAGCTTGTGAGCCAAAACTGTGCCAGGTCTTCACAGTACTACTGTTAGTTATCACACATAAGTAAGAGACCATGTGGGGTTATTGTCTGTCCCTATTAGGCAGGCAAGCTGCTGGTTATCCTGCACATGTAAGAATTTCTGGATCAAATCATCCTGATTTAGAAGATACACCACAAATTGTACCAATAAGATTCTATTTTCTTCTTCTTTGGTGTTCATGTTTTTATTTTTCCAGTGTGGTTGCATCTAGAAAACTTTACCACTATTTTATCAGATTTCAGTACTAGAAAAATCTTTTATGTTACTCTTTAGTTTGACCTCTGACCTTCATAATCACAGGTGTTGGGTTTTGTACCTTTGACGTGCAGCTGTATGTCTGCCAGTTTCCGTTCCCCTCTTTCATTTCCGATGGAGCAGGTGTAGATGCTGCTATCAGTGGCTTCGGGGTTTCTCAGAGTGAGGCTGAAGTCTGAAGTGTCCAGAGCATCATCCCTCATTGATGTGCGCCCCCTGTAATGCTGGTTTTGCCCTTTAAGATCATCCGTTTCCTCTCGTCGTAGGTGGACAGATTTGGGGGTGAGATCATTGCGAGTCCACAGCACTGTGGGGTTTTCAGGTATAAAACCTGAGTACTCGCAAGGCAACAGGACAGATTTTGCCCCCTCATACACCTCCACCACCGGAGCCAGGGCATGCTGGGAAACTGGAAGGAGACACAAGCACACACAACAAAAACACTTCTTATGTGTATGCAGTAGATTTTGTCCTTGGGTTGATATAAAGTGGTTTCAGAAAGTTGCAGAATATGTAACGTCACTCTCAGCCATGTTTTATAAAAAGTATTCAAACATGGATTCTTCCTGTCCAACAAACACTGAAAGGACATCAAAGATGTTAAAGAAAACTGATGGATGACTGAACAAGACTGAGGTGAAAGGAGGAAACCATCTCTTATTTTCTTGTATCTGTGTTCATTTCTTATTGAAAATGAACACAGATACAAGCAGATCTGAGCTCAGACGCCTTCCTGTAATGAGACAGCAGGGCTAACAACGACACCACAGTCCATCAATTTGTAACAAATAACCTCACCATGCAACAACATCAAATGAGGCAGAAACACAACCACACAGAAAACAAACAGTTTATTAGTAAACAGACATCCCAGTGTTACAACACATAAAAGTGTCACCACTGACAATGTTACACACAACTGGCAACACAACCAATTTTCATCTGTATCATTGGACAAGTTTTTTTCTTTTTTTTTGCCACAGTCGTTAACCTTGTCAAACGTCACTACTCTCTGGCAGGTTTGTGGTTCTATCAGTAAGAAACAGACGTCTGGAACACACAGATAGTTCGTCTTAAACAGATATGAACTCAGCTGTAACCCTGTGAGCGCCCTGCATGAAGTCCCAGAGGGGGTTATAAGGAATAAAGTCAAGTAGAGTC